CTACAACAAGCAACAAACCATTTCCAGAAAGCGCGCCACGACCTGAAAGACCTCCCTTGTAAGTGTCAAGACAGTGTCATAAAGGAAGAAGTGCGAGCAGCAATGCAAGAGTACCGTCCAAGTGATTACCTGAGAGAAAATGATACGACGGCAAGGACAAGGACTAAAATGCCAGATGATCCAGATAAGAAAAGCACAGGACGATGTGGGAGGAGGAAAACTCAAAGGAGACAAGGAGAAACGATATCACCTCAAAACCAAGACTATTACAGAAAAGCTTTGGATAGGAGAACGTAGCGAAGAGAAGCACAGCTCACGGCAATATGAAATTGGCGCGAAGGAGAGAAGGAAGAAGAATTATTCATTAAAGTAAATATTACACATTTGAAAGATGGGAATCATATTACCTGGGAGCATTAATTTATGAAATTCCAACACTTGTTACACTGTTACTTCCACAACTAGAAGAATTTAGCAGTAATGACCAGTGGATGTTTTTTGAAGATATCTCTCAGACTTGCCCTATTAAAATAAGTAACTGTTCACAATTCGAAGGAAATAATGAATTTCAAGCAAAGCCAAGAAGTGTGGTCGGTCTTCACGATCGATAGTAGCTATCCATGCAAGGGATAGTGCCCATCGTTGGTAGCGTCGGGTAAGAGTGCGTTCAGACTTCGCGATCGGATCGCGCGATTGCGAAATCTGATCACGCTCTTACATGAAGGATGGATGTTGGAGCTACAGAGAAAGATATGGTCGAGTGACAGATAGTATAATAGGGTAGAATAGGAAAGATAGATAGAAAGATAGATAGATAGATAGATAGATAGATAGATAGATAGATAGATAGATAGATAGATAGATAGATAGATAGATAGATAGATCTCGATGAATCTGCAGCTCTCGCTATAGTCAAGGGTCAGAATTTTATGAAGGTACAGTCTGAATGAAGAATGCAAGACTTGTCATCGCTGGTGGATGGAAGGGGGCCGCGGGGAGGTGGGGGGTGTGGGCGGAACGAGCGGCGCGGTGGAGCCAATCCGTTTACCATTTTTCAAATCGAACAGCGGGACAAGGCTATCATTATCCTCGACTTCGGCATCGCGTCATTTTTCCTTCGGTTTTGCGGGATTACCTGCTTCAATAAATGGGGAGAACTTGGTTAGCGCCAAACCCGTTCCGACTTTATAAAAGCTGTCAAACTAACCAGACTAAAATTCACTGAGCCGGGATGAACGGTCACATGAATGATGAAGTACTCGAGAAAAGACGAAATAGCGCATAACCTGCACCTTTCAGTAGATTTAAGGTCTAATAATGCTGGAAATTACACAAAGGACGCCACTTTTGGCAAATCCTCAGAAGATGCAGTTCTGCTTCAGCCAGAGCTTCACACTGCCCACCAATTAGCAGCAGGCTAGATCTGTAGATCTGCGGCCACGGTGAATAATATGGGTTCTAGTGCTATGAGGCTACCCTGTTTGTAACAACTTTTAGTCTCTCTCTCTCTCGAGCCCTGCAGAGCTGAACAATTTTTTAAGTGGGAAGCAGTTACAGGTCAGAGGAGATTCGAAAGTTAAAGGCTAATCTTTTTGATCTTTATAAGCCTTAATCTCGCTGTCGCTTATACTATTATCAAATCTGAGTGGTCTAAGCAGATCTAACGATAAATCTCCTAATTCTGTAAGCTTCTTATCAGAATTGCCCCCAGAGCAAACAGATGCCATAATAACCAAAGTGCAGTATAAAAAAAGAAAACAATCTCAAATGAAAGTAATGCCTACAAAGATACCGCCGCCAAGATCGTGGTGAACCATTCAAGAAACAAACTAAACGAAACCTACTTCAATACGTCGTAGTTTTTCATGTCTCCAGGGTACTGCATGCCTTCTTGCGACTGCAAAAAATAATGCACTGCCTGCGGCAACAGTACAAAACAATGGAGAAACATACATTTTTGGCCATGAAGTGCACTGTTGGACCTTGCGCTGTGCGATCAGAAAAAGCCGGACCTGCTCCAACGTAGAAAGTGCATTCTTCCCTCAAGACCGAGGCAACCTTAGAAAAACAATGAGAATTTACCACAAAAAATTCCAGTTCAAAGTGAACAAAACTTCATTATTACATACTTTCTTCAAACTGTCGTACTCGGGTCCACTTAGTTGAGGCAAATATGCCACTACATTTCGTTTTCCTGCCTGAAAACATTAAGCTCAAAGGTTTTATCCAAAACGGACTTGGAGGAATATCAAATAAAATAAATGAGCTCAAAAATCTCTCACATCCAACTTTCGATACAGTTCATCTATACTAGGAATTTCTTGAAGACCAGAATCTAACTGCTTCTGAATGAATTCAGAAAGAGCCTCGACGGAACGTTGACTCCTGAAAGTCAAATGTCTTCAAACCAGTAACATGGAAATATTCAAGCGAAGCACTATTGTAAAGTGCATAGGCGAGCCCTCAATAAAAAAAAACATAAAGGAAGTACTTTACTGTTTTCTCTAGTTAAAAAGCCTGGCATTCCACAACAATTAGCAGCACAAATAGCGACAACAGCTAACCAAGAAAAGCACAAGGCGTTTGGCGTAGTTGAAAGTTGACGAATTTGCCCTTTACACAACAAAGGAAAGGCAAAAGAACCTATTTACCAGTGTCGGATATTATTTATTTATAATAAAGTAGAAGGATGGTTCGCCGTTGATCAATCCCTTTTTGGGATGCGGCACGCATTCTACTTCCATTCAGAATCGTAGTGGCTTATTGAATGCGATGTGGCCTATACAATGACTTGCGGGGCCAGCCGATGTACAAGTCAGTGTTCTTATCCTCCCAGACGAATCTGGCAATCCATCGTTCCTGGAGGGAATAAGGCTGGATAAGCCTGGGCAGGAACCAATCCCTGGTTTCATCCCCGTACCGTGCGCGTTATGTGCATGCCACTTGCCACTACTCCACCACTGCTCAGCAAAGAGATACCAGGCCAGAAAGGGATGCGCCGCCACTAATAAGGTTTGTCTTCAAAAACAAAACAAGCATAGTAAGCAAGTCAAAGTTCTCTACAACGCAATGGACCCGCCTTGATGAAAGGAAAATTCAAAAGAGCGGCGAGATCACGACGGAAATCCTACGAGATCTTTTTCCGTCTAATATGGACTGATTTTTTAAGGCTGGAGAACAGAGCAAGAGCAAATGGTGACCCTGGTGGAGAAGGCGATGAAAATAGGCTTCATAAACGAGGAACTCAAGTAACTATTCGCTAAACATCATTGAATTGCACAAAGGCAAGCCGTTCTGCATAGCCAAAAAGTAAAATAGCAGAATAAACAAAATAGTTCCATTATATCGTATGTAAAATAAAGAGGAGTAAGTGAATACGGTACGTTCTGACCTGTACTCTTTTCGTACAACTTCGCCATTGCGGAATAACTTCAAAGTTGGATACTTGTTTACTTGGAACCGCGTTGCAAGACCCGCTAAAACTTATTACATGACAAAAAACTGAAAGGAATCGACACAAATGCAAGTAAATCCGTGAAAACAGAGCATAGAAACATGAAAAACGTGTGGTATCAAAAGTACCTTGAGCATCTGCATCAACTGAAGCCCAGACTACTTTCCCTTGTGGTAAATTCTGAAATAGAATCAAGCACTTGTGAGAGAATCGGGCTAAGAAACGTCACTGACGAATGCTTGAGTAAATAACAAACGAAGAAAC